CAAATGACTTCTACAGCCAGATCTTGGCCAGGCTGGAGCTGGGAGCCAGGGACTACATTCTGGTCTCCCACATGGATGGCAGGTGCCTAAGCACTTGGGCTATCTCCAACTGCCCAGGCGCATTTGTAGGAAACTGGATCGAAAGCTGAGCAGCAGCCCCTGTGCAATAGCCTGGTGGCTAAAGTCCTCACCTTGAACGTGCTGGGATCCCATATGGGTACTAGTTCTAATCCTGGCAGCCCCACTTCCCACCCAGTTTCATGCTTATGACCTGGGAAAGCATTAGAGGATGGCCCAAAGCCTTGAGACACTGCACCCATGTGGGAGACCTGGAAGAAGCTCCTGGCTCCTGGCTTTGGATTGGCTCAGCTCTGGTCATTGCAGCCACTTGGGGAGTGAATCATCAAAAGGCAGATTTTCCTTTCTGTCCCCCCTCTCTGTATATCTGACTTTGGAATAAAAATAAATAAATCCTTAAAAAAAAAAAAGAAAAGTTGAGCAGCCAGGGTTCCAGCTGGCACTATGATATGAGATGGCAGCTTCATGAAGCCCAGCTCAACTCACTGCACCGCACAATGGCGGCCCGGGAAGAATTTTCCAGTTCCCATGGGATTCTACCCTTTTTAGAGAATAGACCATGAAGAATTTGGTGCCTGGAGGAGATCTGGTAAAGTAAAAGTAAAAACAAAGAGTCAGTTCAGATGCTTGGATTTTGTTTTTTTAATGTTGTGAAAAAATATCTGATGAAGAAATAAAATAGGGGTTAGTTTGTGGCACAGCTAATTAAGCTACTGCTTACAGTGCTAGCACAAAGAAAAACCACAGCTGAAATGTCATCACTGGCGAAACCCATTATTACACTGAGCCTTAGAAGTGGGAATATTCCTTGAGATAATGTAGTTATTCATTTTCTAACAAATATTTGAGTGTCTACTCCATGTTAAGTCCTAGGCTTATGACAAAAGATAAAATCCTGCCCGCCAAGGAAAGATTTATGGTGAAGGTACAGTCTGAGTCACAGGCAAAAAAAAATGTTGCTGGGAAACTCATGGGATCCTTACACTAGGATTTCCAGAGAGCTGGGTTTGTACACCAGATAGCTGCTTCCCTGCCCCCACCTCCCATCCCCTGCCCATCCATCCCCTCCTGGCAGTCACCCCCACCATACACTCACATCTCCTTTCTCGGTTCCCCTGTTCTCCCACCCTCCTCGCTTGCTCCATCTGTGGGAGTAGTCAGCCCTGATACTGACAAGTGAGAGGGCACAAACTCTCAGCCACTAAGCTCTCTGCAGTCCCAGACAACCACACCGCTCAAAGATATAACTGTGAGAGGGCTTTCCTGGTGTGTCTCAAGGTGTAGGTCAGAACACATCACGTGATAGCCAGTCATTCTCTCAACCAGCCTGAACTCTCCCTGGTACCTAGAATTCCCAGTCTTACAGAGGGTGTTCCCTAAACATTGCTCCTGGAGACAGGATCCCCCAAGTCCACCATCAGGCTGCTGCACCTGTAGGTGTCTGGATCTCATCAGCTCTGGATGGAAAGGGTCCAAAGAGCCAGAATTATCATTTGCCTGAAATTCAGGTGGTGCTTTTCATAGGAAAGTCCCCTGGGGACAGAGTATCTTCTCTAACACCCTTCCAGAGACCCTACAGCCGTTTTCTCATCTCTTAACGCTTTGTTTTGTTCCTTAGCCAACCTACACCAAACACATTTGGCTGGGATGGGCCATTCCTCTGGGCATTAACAGAATGCAGCTCTGCAGGCTGCAGAGCAGACTCCCTGCATTTCTAACCTGAATCATCCATATGGGATCTGTATTTGAAGAGGTCTGTCTTGATTTCCTTCCTTGCTGTCAACATCTGGAAATTCTTAATTTTTTCAACAAAGGAGCCCATATTTTCATTTTGTGCTGGATTCTACAAATTATGCAGCCAGGCCTGGGGGTTTTATCGTGGGTCTTTGGGACAGATTTGCTTGCACGTGGCTTTAGAGAGTCTTGTTTCTGAACTTGGCTGGAGTGTGAATCTCCTGACTTTTGGGCCAACAATTGACACATGAATGCTGGCTCCTTTTCTTACTAGCCTGTGATGTAGAATGTTTTCAGTCTGTCAACTCTTCATTTGTGAATCAGTGATAATTCTGCCACAGACTTATAGGCTTACTGAAACGAGAGGATATGCATGCCTTAATATATGCAGAATGTGGGGTCCAGGCAGTGACACAGCAGGCCAATCCTCTGTCTGCCTTGTCAGCATCCTAATAAGTACTGACCCGTGTCCTAGCTGCTGCACTTCTGATCCAGCTCCCTGCTTATGATCTGGGGAAGCATCATAGGATTTTTCATGTCCTTGGGTCCCTGTGCACATGTAGGAGGCCCAGAGGAGGCTCCTAGCTCCTGGCTTCAGAATGGCTTAGCTTTGTGACGTTTGTGGTCATTTGGGGAGAGAACCAGCAAATGGAAGAGTCTTCTCTCTATCATTTCTTCTTTCTATAAATCTGATCTTCCTTTCCAATGAAAATAAATAAATCTTTTAAAATAAGTAAATAGTAGAGACAGACAATAGTACAAAGTCCAGCAGCTTATTGTCTACCATTGTCTATACCTACAATGTCATAATACACTTAAATAGCAGAATAATGAACTTGTAACTGTTGCTAAAGAACAATACTATAATAATGGCATAGGGGAAAACAATGGGGGGAGGGGCAATGGGAGGATTGAAGGCGAAATCCCTGAGCCTATGGAAATGTATTATGAAATATAAAAATATAAAATAAATAAATAAACCTTTAAGCATATGCAGAATGTTCAGAATGGTGCCTATGACATAGAACTAAATGCAACATTAGCTGTTTTGATGGTGTGGATATTGTAAGGCCAAATTACTTTGCATCTTACCACAGTGGATCTTACACTTGACACTGACTGTGGAATTGCATGTTCTTTAACAGTCTCTGTTTGAGGAAATTCTCATTTGGGTACTGGGAGCAGTGTGGATGTGAAGAGAAGAGCCAAGTTCGTTTTTTTCCTGGCTCTCTAGCAGACTTGCTTGCTGGCTCTCATTTTTCCCTAGCCTCCCTAGATGCCCACTGACATACAGGGAGCCAGGGATTCCCAGAATGTGAGCCTGGAGCTCCGGACAAGACGATTTTAGGTGCCTCACAGGCCCAGCATATGCACGTTTTATAACCGTTTATCTACTTGTTACTCATAGGGAAGCCTCCTTTCAAGGTTGACTAGTTTTTAATAACTCTCACATTCTTGCTAATCCCCCTTTCTAACAAAGAAAAGACAGGGCTGGTGCCATGGCATAACAGCTAAAGGCGCTACTTGCGGCACCAGCATCCCATATGGTTCCAGTTCAAGTGTCAACTGCACTGCAGTTTTGACCCAGCTCCCTGGGAATACACTCAGGAAGGCAGCAGCAAATGGTTTAGTGTGCCCATTTGGGAGACCCAGGCAAAGCTCTAGCTTCTTGCATCAGCTCAGTCCATAGCTGTGGTATTGGGGAATGGATGAGCAGATGGAAGATGTCTTTCTGTGTCTCCTTCTTTCTCTCTCTCTCTCTCTAACTCTATTTATCAAATAAATAAATACACCTTAACAGAAAGAGAAAGAAAGGAAAAGATCAACTTCCAGTTCCTTGCCTTTCTCTCTAGGATTGGTTTATGATAGGGAAAATTGACTCTCCACTTAAAGTCATGTTTGGCAGTTTCTGAAGGGGAGCAAAACACCATGCAAGAGAGCCTGACAGTGCTTTCAAACAGGCAGACATCCACGAAAAAACACAGAAGCAAGAAAAAAAGTCCGAGGTCAGTGAGAGCCAGTTCAGGTCACTGAAACCCCATTCAACTTCAGCATCTCACATATCATTTTCATCACCGAAGGGTGAGATGGTTTATACGCTCATGGAAGTGGCAGGAAAAACCAAGAAAGGAGAATGCTGAGCCATGTCTGCCAAGATATCAAGCAGTTACAGCAACAGGAAGCATAGCCCGATTTAGCACAGGCCAGGACCTCTCTAGGGAGTTCTCCCAGACACTGAGAATGGTCAGAGAGGAAGTAAAGAAAGGGGATTTGGGGTATGAAAACAAACACACACACACGAGACACAGCTGGCAACTCTGCAGGCTGTAGAGTTCTCACATGGCTTCTGTAGACATATTATTCCCACATTTCATCATCTGTCCTTTGTGTTGCATTCCCACAGCCAGGCAACAGCCGAATGTGTCTGGTGCCAATAGGAGGACTTGGCCCGGAAGAAGTAACTGTAGCAGGCTGCTGACATCATTCCGCCTGTCTCTATGGCACCAAGTAGATCAGCAAGTCAGCAGTTTCCTTTTAAAGAGTGCTTGCTCAAGTTTTTTGTTTGTTTGCTTTTGGAAAAAAATAAAACAACAACTTAAAGAGTGGAAACATCCAAGGAAAGCCTGGATACGTGGACTTTGGCAAGGTAGCTGCCATCTCTTGGTGCCCCAGTCGCATGCCATCCGTTCCCTGCCCTTCTGTGGCCAGCACGGAGCATGAAGGAAGAAGAGTTAAGTCTCACTCTTCACCTGGACTGCAGGTTCCTGAAGTGTCCCCCACCCCACCCCACCCCTGACCCCCCATCCCTGGCCTTGTCAGGCCTAGCCTGAGCGGCATGAGGAGGGGAGCAGTCCTTCCAGCCTCCAACCCCCCTACGCACTGCACTGTCCATGGCAGGTCCCACAGAGGGCCATTGTACATGAAAGGCGTCCTTGTCTTCCAGTCTCTCCCAGCTACCAAGCTTGAACACACCGACCCTGTGTCTTTCACCCATCTGTGGCTGTTATAGGTGATTGACAAAGGTCAAAGTTTGGGAACTGCACCAAGAAAATCCTCCCACATTCCTCCTCCCCTTGCCATACTTCCAAATAGCCAGAGAAGGCCATGGGAAGGACAGTGAACAGGGCCATCTTCCCGCTCTCCCAGCATCCCTTCTTATTGGCCCAGGAAAATCTTTTCAGTTGTGATTTCAGTGCAGATCATTTAATTCCGATGTGTTCTCCAATCCCACAGCCTACAAGTCTCATTTGGAGGGGGCATGCATGTAGCAGAATATTACACTCCAAAGAGACAATGAAAGGACTCCAGTGACCCACCAAGTTTTGTTACAAAGTGTTCTGCTCCTGCTGCTCTGGATGCCCTCGGTCAGGAGGCAATGGCAGCCACACGTGGAAGGGGAAGCAAAATGCTATCTGTGTCAGGCTCTCCACGCTGCAGTGGGAACCACATTCTGTAAAACGAGTCATTCCTCCCCTCCACAGTTGGAAAACAATCAAGATTGTGGCCTTCCTCCTTGGTATGAACCATCCAGAATAAAATACACAAAGAGACATCCGTCACTGAAAGTCCTTGAGGGGAGGAAATCCAGGGAGCCAGGTCCTGTTCAGGCATCTACTCTTCACAGGCTATTTTCAGCTCACGGAAAGCAGCCACGCTGGCCTGTAAGGTCACTGGCTCAGGTAGGCAGACTGTCTTTTTACTGCAAGAGAAGATAGAGAAGGTGGGTTCTTGGTTGCTCATGAGACAGCCCTGGGAATCACGTGGCTCTTTTGCTCCTGTGATGGCCACTCAAATGAATCTGCAGTGAGTTCCCATAGATTGCCTCCTGCCATCACGTGCTTTGACAAAAACACCTGCCAGAGGTAGGACCCTGGAGGGGTGGAATCCCCATCCACACCCATCAATGTGACCAGTGGAGGACACATTTGAAGTGTGTGTCCAGGAGGAGGAAATACACAATAAGAAAAAAATTGTTCCAGTGGAATCTCACATAGAAAGGTGTCCAGCACAATGGCTCAATTAGCTAATCCTGCCCTTACAAGTGCCAGGATCCCATGTGGGCAACAGTTCGTGTCTCAGCTGCTCTACTTCCCATCCAACTCTGTGCTTGTGGCCTGGGAAAGCAGCAGATGATAGCCCAAGGCCGTCCAGTACCCACATGGGAGACCTGGAAGAAGCTTCTGACTCAGCTCCTTCCATTGTGGCGGTTTAGGGAGTGAACCAGCAGGTGAAAGATCTTTCTCTCTGTATCTTCTTTTTTCTGTAAATCTGCCTCTCAAATAAAAATAAATAAATCTTTTTTAAAAAATAGAATATACAAAGCAGGGTAAGTGGAGGGTCTTGCATTGACGTTGGCAAGGTGATGAGGAGGGGAGGCCTACAATATTTGGCTTTCTTCCTAACATTCCCAACTCATATAGTGCTGCAAAAGGCCCGGGAAAACCCTAAGTCTTTGTCATCTCTTCCAGGATGGTTACCACTGTAAAGAGACCGGGCTGGGGAGCAGCTGCCTAGTGTGTGCAAGTCTACAGTCAGGCCTGGGACTCACCTGTCATGCAGAGGCAGAAGGGAGGTGCAGAAGCTTCCCACAATAGTGCTTGTCCGATCTTTTTTCCACATGCCCCCGGAAGCCTGAAACTTGAGTTTCACCTGGTTTATCTGGCACTGTGGATTGGGGTGGGCTAGGATTCCTCTCCCCTGGGATTGCTGCTTAGGTCTGCAGCAGGAAAGAAAAAGCCCATGGTTATGCAATTTGTGCCTTGGTGATCCCGTGCAGCTCTGTAGATAACACAGGATGGCTGCCATATGCAAGGCAAACAAAGTGCTTGGAAGTAGGGACCACAATCCTTCATGTCCCCCTCACCAGTCCCTCTGCCCACACGCTCACAGCTCTGCACACAATCCAGAAAAGCTTGATGACTTTGGAGAAAAAAATAAATGGACTCAGCAGCCAAATAGTAGATGCTAGGGGTTCATGTCTGGAAGCTTCTCCCTCATATCTGGAAACATGACCCTCTTTCTTAAACTTTTCACCTTCAGGTTCAATCAGCTGGAAGTAGAAGCAGTATTTCAAGACCTCCAAGTTCTAAGAATGTGGTGTGAGGACCTAGTGTTGTGGCACAGCAATTTAAGCCACTACTTGCAACACTGGCATCCCAGAGCGGAGCATGGGTTCATGTCCCAGCTGCTCCATTTCTGTTCCAGATTCCTGCTCATATGCCTGCCAGCACTACAGAAGATGGCTTAATAACCTGGGGTCCTGCTGCTGTGTGGGAAACCAGGATGCAATTCCTGGTTTCTCACCTCAGCCTGGCCCTGTATCCAACATTGCTGCCATTTGGGGAGTGAATCAGCAGATGGATTTCTCTCTCTCTCTCTCTCTCTCTCTCTCTCTCTGCTCTCCTCTCTCCTCCAACCGTTGCTTTACCTTTCAAATAAATAGATACTTTAAAAAAGAATTTGGTGCAAAGACTGGATATTGTGCTTTAAGTTAGATGTGATGAGTGGGCACACACAGGAACAAACCTGACCCTAAGGCCAAACGGAGATAGACTGGAACCTAGATTATGTTTCCTCCAGCTGTGTGGCTTCAGGCAAGCTCCAAAGCCAGCAAAGGGACTGTGGAGTTACGCTGATCTAAGTAAACATGCTGGTTTCCCCACCTGCTGTGAAGAGCTTAAATTATGGGATACATTTTGCACACACACTGACTTTAGCCTAGCAGATTCAGATTGAAAACAAAATCCGGGTCTCTCTCTTAAGCCCCATGTTGGCTTTGTGCTCAGACTCCTCATCAGTTGGCAGTATTCAGGCACAACTTGGGACAGAGACCACGGGAAGGAGGGTGTGGAAGATGAAAGTGAGGCAATGGTAGAGGGAGGAGTACTATGTCACCAACCTGCAGGTGCTTCCCAAAGGGCTGTGGGAGCCTAGACAAAGATAAGAAATGGTGATACCCCAAAGTGCAAGGAAGACAGCAGCTGTGAATACCCCCAGGCTGAGCACAGTCCTGGCACTCCCAGAAAAGCCCTGAGGAGATCATTGAAGGTGGGGCCCCAGGAAGGAGCCTGGAGGGGCAATGTGAGGCAGGAGGGAGATATGAGCTGCTGGGCCCTGGGCTGGCCTGGGGCCCCTTGCGCTCCTCCCTGGGCTCAGAGGCAGCAGTGCCTCGGCACAGCAGGCTGGGGCCCATCCTCTCCACCCTGGCTTCCCCTCTCTGTCTGGTTGGTACAGAGTGGGACTTGTTCCCTTTGTAGCTTTTTACTCCAGAATGAGTCACACACTATGTTTGTTCTTTGGAGGGAAGAGCTGCATAACTGGGTTTAAAAGCTCTTCCTTTTTTTTTGTCCTTCTCAGAAGTGTTTTGAAATACGTCAGATGGAAAAATATGATGGTTGCCTTTGGGAACTTGCCTGGGTCAAGGAACTTGTAAAACACAAGGGATGTGACATTTGCTTTCAGTGAATGGTTTGGGCTCTGGACCTGGGTAAATCCTCCAACTAGAAGGAAATCTTGAGGTTGCAGAAAGGAGGAAAGAGCCCTTAACTTTCTCCTCCCACCCCCAATTTCTGGTTTGTAAGATCGAAATTTAAGGAACTGAAGACAGAATCTGGTCACGTGGGGGATCACCTTTGTCACAAAGATCTCCTTTGGGAGAGCGAGGCACTGCTCCAGGAAGCTTCCAGTGGCTGAGTCACTGTCCACTGGAGGCTTCAAATCAAGTCTGGTCCCTCCAGCTCCCGTGCCTAAATCTCTGCCAACAAGGGAAGGAAATATCCAGCCCTAGCTCCAGGCATTGGAACCACCCAGCTTCAGGCCCTCCTGGTGACCAGTTGGGCCTTTACCATGCACTTGACATGCCACCTGACCTTGTGCCTTGGGTTCAGATCTGATGCTTCCCAGGAACAGGCGTTCTCTGAGGCTTAGGACAGTCATCCCCAGTCTAATGACTGAGGACCTTCTATTTGCTGGTGATATCCATGATGGCCCGTGCCTGAGTTACTGAACACTGTTTGCTGTTGAGGATCTGATTGCTTTGTCCTAACCACTTGTGGGGACACCCATGACTTCTGCATGCCTTCCACATGTACTCCCATTTGAACACATTGAGCTTGGACCCAGCACTGACCCACTGCTGGGACAGTTCACCACTGTATGTCGTAAATGGCTTATATGTGCTGCCCCCAGCTCCACTGGCAGGACAAACACGTTAACAGTCACATGGTGCCTTATATGGGATGGCCTTGCATGTTTACAGGTAAAATGAAAGGGCAACCACTAAGCAACAAGGCCAGCCATGGCATACACTTACGTACATGGTAATCTTGATGGAGGAGGTGCTGTTGCTGCTGAGGAAGGTGACTTCCAGGATGGTGTCTTTTTTTCTTGGCTCCTGCAAGTGGAACTCCACAAGGCTGTGATGCACTAGAAAAATCAAAGCCACAAGGTAGAGGGGATATTCAGCAGAAGCCCCACTGAGCATAGTGTGGTTGGGAATGGGCTGTGCCTCGCAGCAGCTCTGGGCCCTGCAGCAGGTCACCCAGCACCTTAACTGCTCACTACCTCAAGAGTCAACCAGAGAATCCCAGAAGACACACTCAGGTCTGAATGAGAAGTGAATGTGCTCTTATTCATAACATTATTAGGGAAGGCTCCAAGCCAGGAAACATTCAGCAAGCGTTGGCTTAGTATTATTTATTCGAAAGGCAGTTATAGGGGGAGTAGGAGAAACAGAGAGTTCTGCTGATTTACTCCCTAAATGGCCACAATGGCCTGGCCTGGGCCAGGCTGAAGCCCAAAGCCTGGAACTTCTTCCAGGTCTCCTATGTGGATGCAGGGGTACAAGCAGGTCCATCCCCTGCTGCTTCCCAAGGTGTATTAGCAGGGGGCCGGGTCAGAAATGGAGTAGCTGGGACTCATCCAGCACTCATACGGAATGCTGGTGTCATAGGCAGAGGCATAGCCTGCTACTCCACAATGCTGGCCACAATTATTGTTTGTAACACTAGAAGGTACCACCCCTCCTAGTCAGGTGATCTTATCAATTGATATGAGCTTGAAAGAAGAAGAAAGGATCTATCACACACTGCTGTTGTTTGAATGCTTTTCTCCTCCAAAATTCATGTCAAACAGAACCCCTAGTGCATCAGGATGAGATGGGTCCCCAGGGGGGCAGGGTAGAGTTTAAGTCCACAAGGGTTCTGCCCTCATGATCAGATAAATGCTTTATAAAAGGGTTTGAAGTAACCTTTTCACCTTTCCACCTTCTTATTTTTTTTTTTTAATAAAGCAGCTCCTTTGTACACAATCACCTGCATTTTGGACTCCACAGCCTCCAGAACTATGAGAAAACAAATCTCTGCTTTTCATTCATTATTTGGCAGCATGTATTTTGTTACAGTTTCAAAAACAGAAGAAGTAAGACATGTACTAAATAATGAGTTCATAAAATGTAGCAATGCCACACTTCCCCTCATCATCCACCTGTGTTAAGGGGTGTTGTCTCATCCATGTGCCAACAATACAAACACTGAAAGTCGAAGAAGGATGATTGGTTCTCTGACATAGCACTCACAGTAACTCTGGTCTCAAGGGTTTCCCCAGGCTCCTTTCATGCTGGAAACGTAAGTAGAGATGACATCTTAGGCCTTTCCCCTACCTGCACTTTTTAATTGTCATATTCCCTGGACAAATATTGGGGGAGAATATGGAAGGGAAGCAGACAGACTCAACAGTGAGGTGAGGGAGGGCTGTGGTCCATGTGGGCCCTCTGCGGGGAGAGCTAGGGTTCAACAACAGGTTCCCAGGGGCCTGAGACTCATGAGAAGGGAAAAGAACCTGGGTGCTCCTCTCTATAGAGGAAAACATCAAATATACACCCCTTTTTTCTCCTGTTCTTAATTGCTTATGGAAGGACACAATTTGTGATGATGATAAACAAGGTCTGAGTGGACCCAGATATTTGCAGTGAGGAAGAAATGGTTAACTTCCATAAGTTTTAGGAATTTAATCCTCTGAGTTTCATTAATATATGGTATCTGTTCTTCCTTTGCTAGCAGGTATGATTGATCAGGGAGGTTTCCTAAGGTTCTCCTTCCATTTTTCTTCCTTTCCCTGGAAATTTCAGGAAAGATGGGAGAGACCTGACAGTGAGTTGGCATCTGTGCAGGAATGAGACTTTGCAACAGCAGCTAGAGTCCAGGGTGGTTGTCCAGGAGGATGGAACACGAGGCTTAGCCCTGTGGCTTATCAGCAGTGCCACCTTTCTTATGTAACTGAAATTCTTTGGGCTTTAGCTTTTTGTAAGTTCTCTGTAAGTAGTCACCCCCAATATCACCTCACAGGACAGTGTGGATTAAATGAGATAATGAAGAGAAGGCACTTTGATGGCCAACTGTTTTATAGGGAATAACTAAGACTGTCAGAAACAGTGTGTATCTGAAACAGTATGTGCCTGCTGGTGCATACCCATCAGAAATCAAGGGTGACTGCCATTGTTGGGAACACTGCTGGATCAAATGGGCCAAGAGTGCTGGCCAGGGCAGGGGAGGGGGTATGTCAGGGGTGTGGTGGCCTGGGAGAAGCTAGAATACCTAAACAGGTGCAGGCCCATAAAGAGAATCGTGGGCAAATTCCATCTGAAGAATGGAAGATTCAGAGCAGGAAAGCAAACAGGTGCTCATGATGACCTGTTTGTTCCATGACCCTCTATGCTTTGAGTTTCAGGGGGAAGTGAATGAGGAGTCACACACATCTTGGACCATTGTGGCTTCAGGAAGTTCCCTTGGCAGGGACCTTACTGTTTGTGCAGCTCCAAATCTTTCCTGCCCTGTACATTCATAGTTGCACAGACCGAAGGGAGCCCATTCAGACTGCCTCATAGAGAAGCCAAGTCCTGCTCCACTAATCACGATGTTCTCCATCAAGCTGGTATTTGGCGTGGTGCCAAGAGGTACCTGGGAAACATGGCCTGGACACAGCAGGACTCAGAAGAGATCCAAGAAGGAGTAGAGACAACAGAGGGCAGAGAAGGAGCCTGGAAGCTGGAGTCAGAGGTCCTGGCATTGAGGCCTAACTTCTTCTTCCAGCTGTGGAACCCTGGGCACATCACTCAGCTTTCGGAGCTCTCTCCCTCTCACACCCACCTCTCAGAGTTGGCCCATTGGGTGGGCTGATGTCCACAACAAGTGGATTCCAACCCTCGTTCCTATAACCCATGAATCTGTCTGGCAGGAAAGTAGGGGGAAAAAATCCCTCCCTTCAGCTAAGGGCTTGACTAAGGTAAGGGAATTATTTCTCACTGCGTTTCAGTTCCAGAGTTCTAATCATTGAGCTGGTGACTTCCTTTTATCCTCCTCACCACTGATTATTGATTTGTTCCCATTTTCCACACAAGGATCTAGAGATTCTGACTGGCTCATTACTTACTCCTGATCACATAGCTCATAGACAGAGATGTTGTGACTGAAAGCCAGAGACGTGTGGGCCCGGAGACTGAGCTCCAAGCTTCATATCTCTGGTGCCTTCTAGCACTCACCCGACTCAAGCCAATCAGGGCATCAGTGACAATGAGGGTGGCCATATCATTTATCATCTAAACTGACACAGTTTTATCCTGTCCTCTCAACAAGACAGGACCATAGGATAGCAAATGTAAGCCAGGAAATGCATCACCTTGGTTACATAATGCACACACCTGGGAAAAGACGGTCGTTCTACTTGTAATGTATTTCATGGATTCTAAACCCCATTGTCCTTCCACATGTAACATCTTTTACAGTCACTGGCATATTAGCATTCCTTCAGTGCAGTGGTGAGGAGTGACAGAGCATGGTCTGCTTGTGTGAAGGGAGAGGAAGGCAGAAAGTAAGGAGTGGCTCCCCTAGAGCCTCTGACCCTGGAGGGCTGACAGGGTGACAGATGGAGGTTGGGCACCAAGGAGGGAGCAAGAGGAGGGAGGCCAGAGTATGCTTCCAAACACCATCCTAAAGAAAACTCTCCTGGAAGGCTCATCAGTGGATCCGCTATCACTATTGTCTCCACAGCAACCAATTTCACCCTGAAATGGCTCTGAGACCAGGGGCTGTTGCCTTCACCTACTACGACATTTTAACCCCAGCCCTTCACCTCCCACCTTGACCACTACACTGAATGAAGACCAAGCAGGAGCCCTGGGTACTCACAGTTGGCTCAGGGGCAGAACTAAGTGCACACATTTGTCACACTCTGCTTACCACAGTATGGGGCCTTGGAAGTGGTCAGCAGGTAAACTCTCACTTCCTTGGGAAGTGGCTCTATCTTGATACCTTCTTGTTTTGCCAGTCCTAGAAATAGAGAAGCAAAGATATGAATAGGCTGAAGATGACATTTCAGGGTCCCACAGCACCTTGCTATGGCTTTCTTAATTCAGACACCCATTTATTCTACAGTCAGCTAGCCTGCAGCCTCCTTATGGGCCATAAGCTATGACGAGCCTGGGGATACCAGCGCCTCTGTGCAGCGGGGATCAGCATCCAAGCAAGAGATACATTCGCTAGGTCACATGGCCCCTTGTCAACAGATAACTACAGGGAATTTGAAATTCCGTCTTCAACCTGCACACCAATCTATGTAACAGTTGTCTTTCTGGCACTTGTATCCTGTGCAAGTATGTTGAGACTGAAGGCAAGTGGATGACAAATTAGGAGAGGGCATTTCTGGCAGAAAGCAAAGTTAGGGTAGAGATACACAGAGTGAGAAAACAACCCTAGCGTGTCCAGTGCTTGGGCAAGTATAGTGGTGGTGAGGCTGGGCAGATAGTTTCAGACTGGGCTATTCCATCTGGGGGAAATTAAGACAGAGGTTCAATGAATGAGAAATCAAGGCTGTCTTGTTATGAACAGTGAATCTTCCGTGAACAATCTGTCAGGCAGTATCCAGTTAATTCAAATGATCAACCACCGTCAGTGCAGTTCTGAGGGCAGCCAGGGTGGAGGGAAGTGGAGAGTGTGGGAGGGGAAAGTGGTATTTTCAGCACACGGGAGTTTTTCCTGGAGATCTTCACCTTGGACAACCCCGATGCACTTGCAGTAATGATCCGCCCAGGGTGAGTTAGAGGCCAAGGCCCTGGACCTTGTTGGAGTCATCCAGGAATGTGCCCATGTTGTCCAGCAGTTGGTCATCCCTCCAATGGGCATGCAGCCACTACAACCTCCTGCCTCCCTAGTGGGCACTGTGTGCCATTCTTGAAGAAATCCCAGACACACTGCTTTAGGGTTACAAAGAGCTAGAGAATAGCTGGCCTAACTGTGGGAAGCACCTGCTTGAGAGTAGGGTCAAGGGTTCTGGACGACCCCAGTGTTTCTAGTAACCTGCAACTGGACTCCCAGACAAGAGGCTGCAAGTGGGAAAGGTGTGCGGAGAAAGGCTGGCACCAGAGAGTGGTATGGAGGGTGAGGGATGGGTCAATATCTTTCTCTTAAGGCCAAAAGCTATCTGTTCCTTAAGACTTGGCTCAAATTCTACTCACTTGTGTAGTGTTTTATTTAAAGAGTTTAAAAGTGAGTATCTGCTTTGTGATAGTTCTGGAAATTAAGATGGCAATTCTCTCATTCAGTTGGACAACTATAGGCTCTTCAAATTCAGTAAGAGCAAACTTCTAGCACCTGTCCCAAACCTACTTCTCCCCCAGTGTTCCCTGTCACAATCAAGATGTCAGGGTCAGCTGGTCTCCTTCCCTCTCACAGCTCACACCCACTCATATGGACCTGATTTGTAAAGGGAAGCTGAAGAGGTGCTGTTTTACCTATCCTTGGGCAGGAAAGGAGAAAAGGGTTAAAGCAATCCAGACACTGTCCATCCAGGAAGGCCTTGTAGCTGCCACAGGGAAAGGCCACCAGTGGGCAGGAATTCTCCAGTGCGCTGATGTAGAGATGCACAGCCCTCATATGATCACAGATCAGATAACTGTAACCTGGATGGGGAAAAACCACAGCCAAGCTGTCCGTCATGACAGGTGGAAACTCCCTCCATGCCACTTACTGTAACTCTACTGAATTGTATATTACAGAAGGCTATAAATACATGGGATGTCCCCTGAGCCACACTTTGAACATATTAATGGGCCTGTTTATTGCATCCTCCCTTTCCCTTTTAATTTTCCTAAGATGAAAGCAACTCTGAGACTCATGTGGGTCACACAAATTCACTTTCATAAAATGGGAGCAAATTTGTAAAAAATAGACTTCTTTCTATAGATTGTACCTTCTTCACCATTGCTCTACAACCCAATTTTCATGTCACTGTACTCAGCTCAGCAATGAGATGCTCAAAGGAGTCAGCAGCAGCTCAGTCAATCACCAGCACCAGTGTGCTGAAACACTACACGGAATTTTCCAAATGTTCCAATTTGCTGAGCACGTGGCTTTGTTGTGGTGGTTTACGGTGGAAAAATCTGCCGTCACTCACACTGGCTGAGTTGGCTAGGTTAGACGGCCTGTGTTGAACAGAGTTAAGGACTCTCCCTGAACTCTGCCAATCCCTTCCTTGGACCAGCAGCTGAGAGCTGCGTGTTCCTTGCTTTGTCCCAGGATGGAGGCACTCTCCAAAGCCAAACTCCTTCCAACCACAATAGGGATCAGAAGCAGAGACAAACAACACCCCTTCTCAAATTGTGGTAAGAAGGAAAAAATAAAAAGGGATCAGCGAAAGCACTGTTGAAACCAAATTATTGCCTTCTGACTACAATCAGTGAAAAATTCATGAATTCTTAAAAGAGGCATGTTTTTGTAAAATGAGTAAATTTGGAAAACTAGGTTAATGATATTCAATAAATTGTCAAAAGAAGTCTTAAAATGCTGAAAATTTTTGTGAATCAGAAAAAAACCAAAAAAAATTAAAAAAAACCCACAGTATCCAGAAATCTGTATTTAGATTTTCTGTAAGAAATGTGAATATGTTGGCTATGTAAGAACACTGAACAATTCTTAATGTTTAGCTTTTGTTCAGCTTACTATGATGTAAAAAGTACATCAAAGACTACCAAGGCTTTAAGTTTATGGAAAATTGAAATTGAATTGAAATTCATGTATTTGAGGTATCTTAAAAACGCTCATGGAAAATTATATTTTATGAAAAAGTATATTGATTTCAATATTTTCACACCAAAACAAATTTATTGTTTTAAATGTTTTTATTCGTTTTTATTTATTTGAAAGACAGAGAAACTGGGGAGGGAACATCAAGTGAGAAATGGGGGAGAGAGAGATATCTGCCATTCTTGGTTCATTTTTTGAATACCTGCAGCAACAGGAGTCTGGGCGAGGCTGAAGCCAGGAATCAAGAACCCCCTGCGGATCTCTCACCTGAGTGGCAGGAATTCAAGTACTTGAATCATCATCTGCTGCCTCCAAGGTGCCTTAGCTGGAAACTGGATCTGAAGACAGAGGCAAGACTCAATCCCAGGAGCTTTAATACGCCATGTCAGTCTTACGAGTCACCTTCAACTGCTGTGCCACAGCATCTGCTTCCAAGCTTATCTTTTAATTCCATTCACAGATTTTTTTTTAAGAACTCTCATATCTTCAATGAACATATTCTCAAAGAATGTTTTTGATACTTAAATGAGAAACAGTATGGGGTCAGCATTGTGGCACAGTGAATAAAGCCGCCACCTGCAATGCCAGCATCTGGCTCAGGTCCAGTTGCTCCACTTCTGATCCAATGTCCTGCTAACAGCCCGGGGAAAGCAATGGCATATGGTCCAAGTGTTGGGTTCCTGCCATCCACATGTGAGACCTGGATGAAGCTCCTGAATCCTGGCTTCAGTCATTATGGTCATCTGGGGAATGAACTCGAACATGGAAGATGTGTCTCTCTTCTGTCTGTAACTCTGACTTTCAACATAAATAAATAACTTTTTTTTTAAGAGAAAGAGAGAGAAGCAAGTATATGCTTTATATGTGCTCAACAGGATATTCAAGAATATTATCTTGAAAACAACCATGAAGAACTTGTAAGGGTGGATAAATGTGGTGAAATGCTCACCTAGGAGACCCTTTGGCTAAATGTCTTTGAGCACGTTGACATCTGCTGTAATCAGGCACTGTACAGGACACAACCATGTAGGCTACGCCACAGATCAAGGCTCAAAGAAGAACAGTGAGTACTGGTTTCAGTAATGTTAGATCACAGCCAGATCTGATAAGTGGAGACAGCAGCTCACATGTGACACTGGCTTTCCATTTCAGGCTCTCCTCCTCTGGGATTCCTGGGCTCCCAAGACACCCTTCAGTAAGTGCTGAGTAAGGCCCATAGGACATAAGAAAGGAAACCATCAAGAAGAGCCCGTGCAGCCCACGCTGACTGACTCAACATGAAGACTGTTGGTGATTTCCAATCTCCAGAGTAGCCAAACACTAACTCTGACTTTCTGACCTGCATGAATGAACGTGGGACAGCCAGGTTGGTCCTGTCCTCCATTGACATAGTAGTCCACGTGCCCAACGGGAATCCGAATACCTAGGTCTGAAAGGAAATAGAACCACATTAACATTTTACTTCAAGGGAATATGATCCAGGTCCCCCAGCAGGATCAATCAGCAGCAGCACCCGAAGTCTGACCTCAAAAGCATCTCCCTGTGCCCAGCCCACCCCAAGGGCCAATGGTAGGATGAGCTACAAGTGAAGGAGCCAAAGTAGCATCACCTTTGCCTAAGGAAATGAAGGTTTTTTTTTTTTTAAGTCAATAAAGTTGGTACAAAGGAGGGTACTTCAAAAAGGTTATTGAAAATGGAATTAAAAGATTTCCTGAGGCCAAAAAAACGAGAGATTTCAATCCATTCAGTATTTCTTCAAATGCATTTTCCACAAAACTTTTGAAGACTCTTCAAATTTTTTGTCTTTCTTCAAATAATAAAGTAAGGATAAATAAATTCTGGGCCATGTTGCCCATCTCCTACAAATATTTTTGCAGTCTGCTGGCTAAGCAGAAATGCGATGCGATTACAAAGAGCTGAGTTGAAGATGGAGAGTGAAGTCCTTATCTTGTCACTGAAATGAGTCTCAGCCCGTCCAACAACGGCATCTCTGATGGAGACTTAGAATCTATCCTGGCTTCTTGTCTTCCCCTCACTCCCCATGCTCAATCCAAGACAAACCCAAACCTCCAAAATATCCTGGCATCTTGAATCTTTCTGCTTCTCTCTGCTTCTGCTAATACTTAGCCTTTGTTCAAACACAATCTCACCAAAATACCTGCTGCCTTTCCAGCAGGCCTCCCTGTGCGCCCTCCTACATACAGTTCGTTCACTGCAAAGGAACCATAGCAATCTTTTCAAGAAACCCAAAGTACTATCCCATTCCCACTTATCTAATGTGAACTTGCTGTCTTGGCCAACCTAGTCTGGTTCCCTGTTTTCCAACCTCACACTTTATTGTGCACTCTCTATATGGCGTCCAGAACAAACCCTGGTCTCCCGCATGGCTGGCTCCATATTTGACTATTGTCCACTTCTTCTCCTAGTTCTGCCCAAGCCATAGTTTCTCCAATAACACTACTGGAAGTAGATTCCAAATCCAAGCCACCCTGTTCTCATGTTGTTTATTCTGATCACAGAAAGTATAATAGTCTTGCTTGTTGCCTGACAAAAAGACTTTTGCTTGTCTTTATCCTGCTTTTTCAATACCTAGCACAGTGCCTGGAATAGAGTGATACCTAATAAATAAGTGTTGAATAAAAGTGAAAGCCAGCCCATATGGCTTATAAGTTCCACAAGAGTTAAGTACCTTCTTCAATGCCTGGTTCATTGCCATATTCTCAGCACCTGCTATGTAGTTCAGTAAATAATGCTTGAATAAACAGAATTATTATGACTTCTTATTACATCAGGAAAAGGTTCCAAGGCTGAAGGATTTGAGATGCTTATCACAGGTACCGAGCAACATAATAAATCACCTAGTTAACAAATTCAGGGATAGAAGTTGTTGTACACAGTATTGATGAACAAGGCTGGTAAATCTGGACAGAGGCTGGCAGATTTTGGTTTCCTGGGTATATGATGAGGGTGTGACCCAGGGTTGGTAGCATGACCTGGGGTGGAGGATGGGGGCAGTGAAGTTTCACAGAGGATCAATCATCTACGAGTCCTGGATGCAGAAACAAGTAAATGAAATGGAGCGTCTCTCACTTGGCCTGCATAATCTTCCAGGCCAGGGACGGTTGTTGTTTCTCTGTGTATCCATGACACTCAGCACAGTGCCTGACATAGAAACACATGGATATCTGATAGCAAACAGAAATGAGCAACCTCTTTTCCTGTTGGTCAGAAGAACTTGATTTGGTCACAGTGGGTTAGAAGTTGAGGGATCTTTTTCGGTCTCTCTGTGTTGGAACAGAGACTCACAAGCTCCACTAAATGAAAGAGCTGGGCTAGTTCTCTGCTGGTGTGAGGGAGGGTAAACCCTGACTAGCCTCTCTACTTGGGGAGTGGAATGCCCCCATCCCCTGGGGCCAGATTGACGTTCCCCCTGAGTCAGCCAGGCAGCAATGCCCTCTCTCCAATTGCTCAACACAAGGAGTTACATTGCAGAGTGAGATTCCCAACCGATCAATTTTGATCCACGAGGGAAAATTTTCATCTTGACAGTCATTGGATCAAGAACTGTCAGCCCAGACAGTTAGGCGACCTCCACACTATGTCCCAGAAGCAGTTCAACACTCCCACCGCTGCTCCAGCCCTCTCCTCGACTCCCTCTGCAGCCCCAGGAAGGCTGCCCCAGCCCCAGCTCACTGTCAGTGTCTGTGTGGATGGCTTCCACAAAGAGGGCATCTCCGGCATCCAGGCGCTCCTCCAGGCTGGCTCGGGTGTATTCGGGTCCAGCGGGATCAAGGCCTGCAGGGACAGACTAAAATCAGAGTCGCCTTTCCTCTCATGCATCCACTATACACATCTCCTCCAGTGAGGGGTCCTTGCCTTTCGGATCAGAGACTCCCCAACCAATACCCCAACTTGAGGTTGACTTCCTAAAAGATAGCCCACATGGATGTCTTTCCCAAGGTTCCCAACATCTCAATGACCCGGTTTTCCTAACTCTAAATTTTTCCAATGTGAATACTGGTGACCTTTGCAAAGCAATAATGATAATGCCATTTTTTTGAACAGTTACTTTGTGCCAGCCTTGTGCTGGGCAGCTATGCATGTTCCAGACTTTCCAACAAAGTGAGATGGACATCACTGGTCCCCTTTGTGAGTGTAGACTCCTCCCTGTCTCCCTCTCCTCAAAGAAAGCAGACTCCACCACAAAGCTGTGGAGAATCACAGAAAACTAGGCGAGCAAGTGGGGACACCAGTCAGGGAATGAAGGAAACCATTACTGAGTGAGTTACCACCGTGGGCAACTGGGTCTAACCTCCACCCCGGGGACCTCTCCACGGGCTTCTGTTAGAACTTGACTCAGAATGGCCCCGCTGGAAGGCCAGGAAGTTGAGCTGTTAAAACCACCGCTGATTGACAGAGGGTGCTGCTGAAGCATAAAGTTGCCCTTACTCTGGCCAGTATTCAACAAAACTCAAGCTGATTTCCACCCATTCTACACATAGATACACTGAGGCTCAGAAGCAAAACTAGGGCTCTTTCATTGATTACAGACCATGCTATGACAACACAATGCTGTTTTCTGCCAAAAGGACCCCCTAAAGTTTGAAGATAACAAGCACAATCCTGCCACTCGCCTCATGGGAAAGGGGCATTTCCAGGAGACCCTGTGTGATGCTGAACCCTGGGGCGGGGGGAGGAAGTGAGGAGGACCCTTACCTGTGATCCGTCCCAACTGGCCTCTGTGGAAGTGTCCCACCATGCCCCCCACATGGGCCCCCAGGCTCACACCAATGATGTGGATGGAAGACTCTGACACACCCAACGCCTAGAACAGACATTGATAGTGAGGTGAACTGAGTGACTGTTCCCAGAGGGGGAAAAGAGACACAACACTCTAATCCTTTTATCACTTACTCTCTTCATCACTTACAACACCCCCTACTCTAACCAGACCCCTTGCTTTCCTTGTGGGGTCCAAAGCCTGTGAATCATGACCGCAGCCACTTCCTCTTTGAATGGTGGCTAAGTGCCAGGCAACCTATATACACCATAGACAGTGCAATGATACATTGTACAGGGGAGCACCAGCAGGTTCAGTAGCCCATCTAAGGTCAGTCCTCTAATTATCAAAGTCAAGGTTTGTCCCGGAGATCCTCCAGGCCAAAGTAGCTCTGCTTCTGCCTTCAGTTGTCCTCATATGCTGCTTCTTTCTGACCCCTCCCTCCTCCACAAGCACCCCCAAGGTCACACCTGGCTCTTCTGCACCCACCAGGAGTTTATGGAGGAAACGAGAGATCTCCAGGCTGAGTTTCACCACGTTTTCCACAGCTGAGGGGTATAGACCAGTAGACCCGTAAACCCAGTCCACAGCAATCACGTTCGTGTCCGCTGCACTCAGGAGGACACTGATGAATTTATCAATCCAGGAAGGCTTTGTTCCTAATGCCCTAGACATAAGAACAAGAGAGGACAGTCACCTGCCAAGCCAATAGCCATGGAAAACCTCTATGAATCCTGAAGCTAAGAAAGAAGTCAAAACTAGGCAAGGGGATCCGTGAGATGTGACTCACACAGGGCTTGCAGCATAGGAAGAACTTAATTCCAGAGCTTCCAAGCCTTACACCAGCACAAGTGGAACATTCATGTTCAATGCAAAAAGTGTCCTTCCTTGCTGGTGGACATAACCCCATGCGTGTGTGTATGTGTGTGTGTGTCTGTGTGTGTGTGTGTGTGTGTGTGTGTGTACACTCCTGGATTTCAACTCCATCTCCTTATACCCAAGCACCATGATGCAAAGTATAAACGCCACAAAATAGAGGCACTGCCCTGCTCTGGTGTGTGCTATTTGTGGAAAAAAGAGCTTAGAGTTGAGGTTTGTGATCTTCATTTATTCATTTATTCATTCATTCACCCATTCATTCTCTTTACAGACACGTATTATAGACCTGTAGACCAGGCTGTGTGCTAGATGCTTTTCATGAAACAAAAGCAAATAAGAGACAGTGCCTACTCCCCTTACACTACAATGAGACTATTCTATCAACAAAAAACAAAACCCAACAAAACAAAAACAGAGAGAAAATGGTAGAAACATTTCAGAAAGCTTCCACAACAGTCCAGGATCAGAAAAGAAGTTTTATCAAAGGCTCACAGTCTAGGAACAGTCCGAGTAGGTGTTTGTGGACAGAGGCGGGCAGCCTGGCCCTGTGCCATGCATGGAATGTGATTTGGGGGATTTAGGAGCTGACAGAATACTCAGCCTGATGAGTCTGCCAGCCCTATTAGCTATCCCTGCATTGGAGGCATGTACTTAGGCTTGGATGGTAATGCAATCTGACGCAAGAGTGAAGAGTGACATCTAAGGAAGTGTAAGGGACAGGCCCTGGCTTCAGGGACCAGAGAGGGGAGCGAGAGGCCAGAGACTGGCCAGAAACTACAGTGCCTTTGTGCCTACTTTGTCATTGCAAGACCCTTGGATCTAGCTGCTGTGTGATGCGGCTGGCCCACGATATCCCTCTCCTCTCCGCCGCTGCCACTTCTCTCCTGGAAATCTCTGGCTTTTTTGAAAACATGTCTGAAAAAAAGGATGAGGCTTGATCTGAGACTTAGAGACAACATGTCACAGCCCAGCTTGGATCATAGGACCTCAGAAGTTCCGAAGAAGAACTGCCTCACTCCTGAGAAATGGTAACCTCTGGCATTGATGAAAGCAGTGCCCAGAATGGAAACTTCTTACATGGTGAAACCAAGGAAAGAGTGAAAAGGAGGAACTAAAACCCTGAGATAACCCTATGCTGCTATCCCAAGAGACTGCACGAAGCCGGTGACCTCACTGACTGAGGGAAATCACGTGACCCAATCCACATTTGAGGCAGGAATAGGCCCACTGACACCATGCCTTCAAGCAAGGATTCAACAGGGTATGGCTTGACCAGGGTCACACCTATGTACTGTTTCTGGATGTGCAGAAAAGAATGCACAAAGAAGTCGTGGATGGGTACGGCCTACAAGAATGAGTAACAGCAGTGGGCATTGCAGATCAATTCCCAGCATGGGACGTCTGCATGCCATATGGAAATGCAAGTTTGTACCCCAGCTATACCATTTCAGATTCAGTTCTGCTAACACATCTGGGAAGTAATAGATGGTGATTCAAGTTCTTTAGGTCTTGCAATCCCTGGGGGAGACCTGAATGGATTTCCTGGCTCTTGGTGTCAGCCTGGCCCAGCCCTGGCTTTTATTATTATTATTATTTTTGCGGGGAAATGATCCAATAGGTAGAACTCTCTCTCTCTCTCTCTCTTCCTTTCTCAATCTTTCTTTCAAATAAGTAAACATTAAAAAAAAAAAAAGACCGAACAACATCGTGTGTGTGTGTGTGTGTGTGTGTGTGTGTGTGTGTGTGTGTGAGAGAGAGAGAGAGAGAGAGAGAGAGAGAGAGAGAAACACCTGATTCTGCAGGAACTGACAGATGAAACAGGAAATCCATCCCTCTTGCTTCCTAAGGCATGGTGGCCACTTTATAGTCCTTAGCTGAGTAGACCCTACTGGCTGATTAGCTCCCACCTGAATCCATGAATAATTAGTTTGGTTCCCAGAGTGGCATTGAACCCAGAGCTTTGGATGTCAGTGCTTTCTTCTACTAGCTGCCCACAGCTGGGATCTGCAGGGGTGAAGAGAAGAAACTGGACTTTCAGGTTGGTGCCTCGGAGAAAGTTGGCGTTCTGGAAGTCAGCACATTTTGGCTGGGAGGTGGGAGGTGCATTCCCTAAATGAAAACAAAACCAGAAACAACCACAGTGAGATCCTGTGCCCTTAAGAGATATTCTTAGAGCGAATGAAGCAATGGAGACTTATGGACATAAGGTTGAATACAAATCAGCTAGCATAGTTATCAGCCACTCAACTGCTAAAGGCTGAATCAGTTTTGAAACTAAAAAAACGTGAGTACCTGCCATGCCTAAAAATAAAAATTCTAGAGAAGAACATGAATATTTCCCAACAAGAGGAGGTGAAGGCTTTTGTGTTACGGGTTGAAGTGAGTCTACCCAAAAATCCTAAACTCCAGCTTCTCCCAATGTAAGAATATATGGAGATATGGTCATTACACAGGTAACTAAGTTGGCATGAGGTCCTCAGATGAGCCCTAAGTCAATATGGCTGGTGTCTTAAAAAAGAGGAAATGCGGACAAGAATAGGGAAAGAGGATGTGGAGAAACACAAGATGAAGATGGGCATCAGCCAGCCAAGGAGAAAGGCATGGGGTAGATCCCTACCTCACAGTCCTCAGAGGGAACCAACCTTGCTGCCACGTCACCCTCAACAACCATAAGATAGTACATTTCTGTGGTTTCAGTTACCAAGTGTGTGGCACTTTGTTATAGTAACCCTCACCAACAGATTTCTAAAAAGAACCCTAGATAGCCAAGTGAGCATCTTCCCTGAGGCCAGGTTTGTCTTAACACCCCTTCCCAGAGGCTTGGAAGGGAAATATTTCAATTTAGCAAACTAATCTTCTAACTCAGAAAAGAACAACAGAGCAAATCCATAGTAGAGGTAGGGGAAGAAAAGTAATACTTGAGTTACATGAACAGAGAACCCAATGAAAGAACATGGTTAACAGGTAAGTCATTGTAGTTTTTCAGGTGTCCTGGCGATGCCTTTGGGCTCTTCCCTTTATCCCACATGCTACGAGGTAAACAAACCTTGTTACACGTATCATCGGAACGAAATAATCAGAACTCAACTATTCTCATCACCTACATACTTACCACCTTGATCCAAGCCATGGTTTCTCAAAATCATTCTTTTAGCCTGAAATCCTTTTTCACTTTCTCCACTCCTGCCTTTTTTATCCTAATTGCAATGCAATAACCAATTACCCTTTAAGAAAGTAAGTCAGATTTTACAGATTAAGCCACTGCCTAGATGTCAGCATCCCTTATTGGCACAGATTTGAGTTCTGACTATTATGTTCTGATCCAGCTCCCTGCTAATGGTGCCTAAGAAAGCAGCTGAGGATGACCCAGTTACCTAGGCCCCTGTCACCCGTGTGGCAGACACAGATGGAGTTCCAGCCCCTGGGTTTAGGCTTGGCTGAGCCCTGCTCCTTACAGCCATTTGTGGAAGAAACAAGAAGATGGAAGATCCCCCACCCCTCACCCTTTCTCTCCCTCTCTGCAACTCTGTCTTTCAAATACATAAATAAATGAACAGATGGAAGAACCCCCCCCCCTTCTCTCTCTCTCTCTCTCTGCAACCTTGTCTTTAAAATACATATATATATATATATATATATATGTATGTATGTATTTTTTTTTAAGGGGAAGCAAGTCAAGTCGTGTTGCACCTCTGGATCAGCAGCACTAACAGTGGACTACAAGGCCCTAAGTGACCTAATGCAGCCCCACTCTGGAGCCTTAGCCTAGTCCTCCTACTGCTGCCCCTGTTGCAGCCTTCTGGCCTGCCTGCTCTTCCTCCTGCTGGAATTCTCTGCCCCAGCTGTTCCTTCTGCCTAGAATGTACTTCCTTCGGTGTCTGCTTGGCTGTTTCCCTGCCTCCTTTGAGTCATAGTTTGCCCAATGCCATCTTGTTTGCTCCAACCTCCCTTTCAAAGTCATAGCCTGGTTCTACTCCTCCTTCATTCTCTCCAGCTTTCTTACTCTGATTCATTTATTTAAGTTTACTTTTAGTATGGCAATCACCGTCTCCTAATCTCCTTATCAATTTATTATACTGATTCTTAAACTATAGATAAAATTTACTATACAGTATTAAATCATATTATATTGTATTGTAGTTATGTAATTGTATATATTTTATTATTTATAAATACAATGTATTATACTGCATTATATTTTTTATAAGTGGAATTTATTACATTGGTTTCTCCCTACATAAGAATATACTGTTAAGTAAAGCAAGGATTTTCATCCATTTTGTTCACTCAGCTGTCTCAAATAGTGCCTGGCATGTAATAAACCCCAAAACTTATTCTTTCAAATGTTAAACTAGATGTACTTTTGATAAGACAGAGCTAGAAAAATAGAAGGAAGCCACAAGTAAACAATATCAGGAATAAAAAAGATATATAAATATTGACCACAGGATTTTTTTTAAACCCTAAAAGAAAAATATTTATATCAACCAAAAAAGACAAGTATTTTTCTGGTTTCTGGAAAAAACGTAATTTACCAAAATCTAGCCAAGAAATAAATAACAGAAAATCAGATGTAAAACTGTAATATAAAGGAATTGAAGCAGTAGTTCAGACAAATCCATTGAAAGTTCCAGGACGTAGGCAACTCTCCAGAGATGCACCAATCCTGTAATTCCCGTCTCATAGACATTTTTTTTTTGAGAATTCATTCCATGAGAATAACCCAAACTTCAAAAACTAGGCAGGCACCAAAGGCGAAAGAAAAACTAAAGGCAAATTTCACTTATAAACACAAATACCTTAACTAAAATAACAGCAAATTTAAATCCATCAAGGATAATAAGAACAAAAAATACATCATGGACAAATGGAGTTTAATCCAAGCAGAAAAGGGAAGCTTTAGCATTAGAAAATGCACTGTTACAACTCACAACTGGACAAATAAGAAAATCTATTAACCCACCAAAGCAGATGCTATTTAAAGAATAGTCCTTAACATAGCAGAGTCTACCAAAAGCCTGTGGCAAGGACTAGCCTTCCTGGGAACACATCAGAGGTTTTCTGTGTCTGCTGTTTACTGCTCCTATTAAATACTGTACCAAATGCCCTAGTCCTAACCAGTGAAACAAGACAACAAAATGTGACAGAAGTTACAACGTCTGAAAGTTCAGGAAAGTTAGCAGTATTTGAGGGGGATCACTCTTCCAGTCACTCTGAGAATGTACACTTGTAGAGATGTAGAGGAAGTGTCAGCCTGGGGGAAAGTGGAGGAGCCAAAATCAAGGTTTAATTCAAAATTAAAATGAAGCTAATCTAGTACAGATGTCTCTCACTTGCCATGGAGGATTGGTTCCAGGAACCCCCACCAAAATCCACAAATAACTTAAGTCCCTTATATAAAATGATGTGTTTATATATAACTTACCCACAAGCTCCCATATCTCTTAAATAAGCTCTAGACCACTTAAATATTTCATACAGTGTAAATACTCTGTAAATAGTTATTATTCTGATTATATAGTTTAGCAACGAACACAAGAATCAAAGTCTAGACATATTCAGCACTCGTTTTTTAGCATTTGCTACCCACTGTTGACTAAATGCATGGGTGTGGAGGCAGCATGCACTGTGAGCCAGACTCACATTAGAGGCCAAGATCATCCTTAATTTTGGGGTGGCAGTGACAAGGATGTTTTAAGAGACAGATGTTAGGATCCCAATAAGGTTTTGTTTCTTGATAAATGATGATTACCAAGGCAAATTCACTCTAAAAATCCATTCATGTATATAGTAACAATTGATAAATGTTTGGTATATACTGTACTTTAATGACATTTACTCAAGAATAAGTCTATAGTATACTATTGTAAAACTATGAGGGAAATCAGTGGCAGAGGAGGGAGTCTGGGGAGAGGTTAAGGGAAACCCCAGAGCCTATGGAATTGTATCATAAAATAAAAAATAAAATAAAATAAATAAGCATGTAAAAAATTTTAAAAAGCCTACAAATAAAATATTTAAACATCTAAAATAATCAGCTGTTTACAAAGATAGTACAACTGATAAAAAGATCATTAAATCATTAAAGTGAAAGTTGAAAAGAAGCAGATGTTCCTAATCTCTGCATTCCCCCTGCCCCACTCCCGTGTCTTGATGGATACTTTTGCTGTGAATGTAATTATACAGCCATTTGAACAAATGTTTTTAAAAATCTATTAAAAATCTATTGCTATAAAAAAATCTATTGCTATAGACTTTAATATATATATGTGTGTGTGTGTATGCTGGGGATGGCAGGGTGGCACAGCAAATCTACTCTTCCACCTTGTAACATCAGCATCCCGTATAAATGGGCACTGGTTCTAGTACCAAATACTCCACTTTCCGCCCGGCTCTTTGCCTATGGCCTGGGAAAGCAGCAGAGGATGGCCTGAGGCTTTGAGCCTCATACCCACGTGGGAGTTCCAGATGAAGTTCCTGGCTCCCAGCTTTGGATCAGTTCAGCTATGGGCAAATTAAAATTTGGGGAATGAACCGTGGATGGAAGACCTTTCTCTGTCTTTCCTTCTCCAAAAATTTGTCTTTTAAATAAAAATAAACAAATCTTTTAAAAATATGTATGCTAAGAATACACAGTACCAGGATAAAAATAAAGTCAACATAAGAAGTTATGATATAAAACCAGACTTGAATGATAAAATGGGAGGAGCAAGTCTTTGCTGGGGCAGGGAGACACTACCTGGGTGGCTGGCATGGCATATCAACCTGCCTGGGAGTTCCTGCACCTGCTCCTGAGCACAATTTCCTGTTAATGTGTATCCTGGGAGGCCGCAGGTGACAGCCCTAACACTTGGATCCCTGTTGCCCATATGGGAGACTCAGAATGAATTCTGGGCTCCTGCCTTTGGCCTGGCCCAGACCAATTTGTTGTGGAATTTTGGGAATGAATGTAATAGACAGATCCCCCTCTATCTCCCTCTCTGTCTCTCTGCATGTATTTCAAGTAAATTAAAAATTTAATGATAATATATAGAGGCAAAATCGAATTAGGAAACTGGTAATGAGAGATAGCTGTGGAAATAAATTAATACCATAATATCTAGC